TCTTGACCAATCAACGGACTGCAGTGTTCACAGCTCCACCTTTTAGAACAATTCTGTGTGCTAGGTAACCCAACAGAGGGGGGACCAAAAATGGAAAAGTACGGAACAATTCCATTGGTACCATCCACAACTTTTCACAGTGGAAACGGCAAAAAGGCACACTGAACTGCTTGTTGGAAACGGGGCTTATGTGTAATGTTAAATTTCGGGAATACCAAAAAAGGGGAGCCAAATCTCAACACTGGAGACAATTAGGCTACCACATCAACAATTGATAAAAACATGTGTTTGAGATTTTGCTCCCCTTTTTAAATGATTGATACAGCCCTGTGGTTGTACTTGTGTGTTTTGTTTCGCATTGTGACCAATACGTTTCTCAAATAAACTTAGTGCGCACATATTTTTACATACATGAAAGGTTTTTAAAATGAATAATGTACTTTTAAGTAAGATATTTTCATGAATCCTCACTCAGCCCTTACAAGAGTGAGGATAATTATTAAAGTTTATAGCATATTTGTATTCAAAACATCACTGCCTTTTACCAGGCAGTGTAAACATTGCCAACACGACCCAGGCCCAGTCCACTAGTACACAGGTATTTTTGATAACAGGGTTTTTCCCTCCTTCATCCTCACAAAAACACCTGTACACAAAGTTACAAAATATCTACAACAGGTGGCAATATAACCATAACCTTAAAGTCACGCAAAGAAGTTGGCCAATCAGAAGCCTGTAAAAACAGATTACTGGAAAGCTACATGGAGCAGAGACCTCCATAGCATTTTCTGATGCATCCATTTCTCTATGTAGCAGAAGAGTAACTGTACATTTATGTGTGAACATGTAAAAAGTCCTGTTAGCAAGGTCAGAACCTGCACTATTTTAGCCACATCTACTTTTGCAAGAAATGTCGCCTCATTTGTGATGCCTCACAAAGGGGATAGAAGTGGGGATAGATGTCAAAGGGCCTCTCTGAAAAAACCTTAGAAATAAGTGAAGTCAATGTAAAGTCCTCACGAGTAAGCCTTAAAGCGTTGTTTGTGTTTGTCTGTTTTTGTGTCTCACCTCTCGGCCTAGAGATGTGAGGCGTATAGGGGTGGAGCTGATCGGCCACCAGAGGCGGATCACCAGCAGCGTACAGACCCTCCGCCTTCAGCTACTGCACGAACAGGAAAAGGGTTTCCATGTATGAGGACACCCTTTAACACAACCTGGGACGGACAGATAGATGGACAAGACGGAAGTGAAGTCTAGACCGTTGGACAGACAGTCGATACAGCCTGTGCCTGAGTCTTAACCCCTCATACAGGAGGTCATTGGACAGACTACCACAGCAGACTGCCCCCTGGTCTCCCTCACATCCAGTAGTAACAGACTCTTTCCTACTATACACCCCTTACCCAGAATACCTGGCTCTGCCTGATAGACTTTAAAGACTGGCCCAGGCCCTCACTTAGGGGAATGTAATGCCTTGTTGCAGCAGCAGTACTTTGTGTGTGGAGCAACAATATCTAGAGATGTAGATTTGCAAACGTAATCTACTGAATCTTTTGACTCTTCTTTTCTCTTTTTCTTTTTCCGCTCCGAGTTATGTGCTCATGTAGCTGCTATCGGGTGTGCAATCGAAAAGTATTTGAAAAAAGTATCCTCAATATTTTTTATTTTGGAGTTTGATAATTTATCATGAAGGTTTTATTTGCATCGCTTTAGTTTACCCTCTCTCCAGAGAATCTGGTACGCTAATACTTGAAGAAAGAAGTGAGAAGCAAGTTACGGAGATTTGTTGAATGTTTAAAAGTGTATAGACAATTAATCGATAATTATTATCATAACCTAATATCTATATATGTGCAGTCCTGTATGTGAAAGCCCTAGTAAATCTGGATCTTATTTAAGATGTTTTATTTATTTAAGATTTTTATCCAAATCAGCAATACAGTATTATGCAGTCACCTCAGTATCTCAGACGAAAGAGAGATAAAGAATTGCGCCATGAGAGAACTCTTGTTGACACATAAACATGAGGCTCACACTACACCATCCACCTGTTTTTATTGTCACATGATAAGCTTGCAGAACTGGATCCGTTGCCTTCAGATGAACAACCATACAAGTCTATACTGACACTTTTTAGCAACTGGTGTACTCACAGTTGTGCGGTAAGCCTGATTTATTTTGGATTGTGAATGTTATTCATTGCCTGAAAGTACACAATCTCCACTGTCTTAACATATGAATGTTCACAGAACTTTTTTGTCTGGAAATTTGACATGGACTTATATGGTTCTTCAGAATCAGCTGATTTCATATACATTTTATTTTCTTTTTGCCTGCACACACACTAATACAGTGCACTTCTGGGGCAGAGTTGATCCAAGATGTCAGAGCAGAATAAGCCGCCATATAGGTGCACAGTAACTGGATGGATTTCACTCCAGTCTGTTCATACATTGTGGTCATGTAAAGGTTGTGGCGTTTGTGGCAGTTTGGGAAACAAGTGTACATAGACGTAAGGTGAAACGAAACCGTTGGATCCGCAGTAGATGATGTCAAGTTGTCAGATTATGCCATTAAAATCGCCATTTTTCTTCATGTGCTAAGTCAGTTAGTGGTGAATAGGCAGCGCTGCAGAATATAACTAGTTAGCTGAATTGTTGGCAGCAGAAGTAGCTAAAACCTGGTGGATGGGAACAGGTGAGAAAAGGCAGTAGTCAGTATGATTGTGTGATCAGGACAGAGCTGTCCCGCAGAGACAGGAAGTGACTCTAAGGACAGCTGAGAGAGAACAAACATAAACAGCAGCATCATAACTCATCATGTGTCATCCTAACATCAACAGTGACAAACACACACATGCACCCACACACTCGCACACACACGCAGAATGCCTTACAGTCCGTTAACCATGCAAGACGGAAACACTTTAGAGTGGTTCATAAGTTTCAGTGCAGTCACAGGACCTAGTCATTAGTTTGAGTTGTATTCCATAATTCAGGAGAACACCCGCCCCTCTACAGCTGCAGTTTACCTTACAAACTGGGGCTCGATGATTAATGTCCAAGGCAAACCGGATCCAGAGATCTGTGCCTTTCGGTCAACATGTAGTTATGCATCCAGGCCTGCAGGAGTAGAACAAAGGTGCACACACACATCCAAACACACACACACACACATATTTGCACACACATGCTCCCGGTCACCACCCCTCTACAGAAAAAGGAGAATATCAGATGCTGTTTGTTTAGCATGTTCTACTGCTGAGCAATGTTAGAACGTTCTTTTGTACAAAGTACAAGTATACTTATAATTCTTGTATTTTATTTTTCTATAATTTCCAAAGAGATGTTGTAGATCTTGCACACTGTAAGAGGCAGTTACAGCGAATATTTATTTGCAAATAAAGATGAACAGTTCTGGTGGTTGACTGCTCATTTAATTTGGTTTCCATTTTTAAGTCAAAATCCAAACAGCAGCAATTCAAAGGAAGAAATGTTATCTTTTATCTTTTAGGCTGTGAAATGTCATTGTTTTCAATGCTAAATTTAGGACACTGGTTCCCAACCTGGGGGTCACAACCTCTATTAGGGGTCACCAAAGTTTCACAGGGGGTCCTGAGGCTTTCTTCGTAAGAAAACTTCTTAACACAAATTATACAGCGGGCCTATATCTCAGCATTTTATTCATTTTTCTGAGAGAAACTAAATCAAATTGTTATTTTTCAAGTTTAAAGTATTATTTAAGACACAAAAAAACCTCACAGGTGAAAACCTGAACACAAACTATATTCACAAAGCCTTCGCTTGCTGTTGAACAGCCTTGTCCTCCTTTATAAAATTACACATTAAGATATTTTAAAAGTACACAGTCAATCAACAAGCAAAGTTAGAGCAATGGCCAAGGCCAGAGAGAAGAACACACTGAATTTGTCCAAAAAAACAGACTATTGGTAAAAATTATACACACAAACTCATACAAAAATTTCCTTAAAATATCAATAAAACTCATGACGTAATATTTACAGGAGATAATCTGCTCAAAATTCATCCAAAACATTGGTTTTATACAAACTTCCTGCATTTATTAGGTTTGCTATTTGGGTTAACTGTACAGTTTATTAGTTGTTCTGTACTGTTATTGTTATGTATTGAATATAATTTGAAATATCTATAAATATGTCAGTCAGGGGCCGTCAGTTTACTCAATGATAGAAAAGGGGTTCTTTAAGGAAAAAGTTTGGGAGCCACTGATTTAGGGGAGACCTCACCATTAAAGAATCCTCAGTCAAATTTCAGAGTAAGTGCCATCTCTTTATTAAGCTTTTATTTTGTGTTGTTGTTTTATTGTTGTTGTGAAATATATCAGACTTTTACCACCTCCTCAACCTGTGAACTGACATGAAGTCGTACACATAACTGATAACCAAAAGATGGAGCTGTTGGACCACTGACCAGCTTCAGACCTGCCATGTGAGAAGTCCAAATTAAACTCCTAAAATCATTATTAAAAAAAGTAATAGTAGATGTAGAATTTTCAGATTGGATACATCGTAATTTTCCCACTGAGAGTTTGCCACATCCCTTTTTTAAAACAGATATATGGTTGCACACACTATAATATGTTCGTATGTACTGTATGCATCTTTAAGTGAACACATTTTAAAATATGTATGACCCTGTAGTCCTATTTCGCTGCTACAAATGTGTATGTGTTATTTCTCATTAATTGTAGATTTACAGTGACACTCTATCCCAGATTGTTTGAATTAAAGCACAGATCAGACAGACGGTGGCTCTAATTAAGCTAATGTAAGGTAAAGTAAGGTAAGGTAAAGGTGTTACAATAGTAAATCAAATGCATCAGGATGGGGTGCCTGGAAAGCTCCACACTCCATGATCAGGTCACCGGGTGGTTCACAGAACTTAATTCGCCTTAATAGGATTACCTGTCACAAGCTGGGATGCCCAGGCGGCATCACAGCTTGTGACACTGTTCACAGGGAGTGCTGGGAACACGCTATCCACGGCTATGTTTATCATCATTCTTTGCTTTCATGAGGAATTGTAAATGTAAATGTAGTATATTTAATTTCCAGTGGTCTGACTATCTATGGGGTGATGCGTTAGAATTTAAATGGTGTAGCATTACTTAAGTCTAATGGGGCTGCTGGATAAACTGTCGGGCTGGCTCGGCCTGAGGAAGAAAGAGGTCAACGTTTTGTGTTTGGGACTGGACAACAGCGGCAAAACTACCATCATCAACCAACTCAAACCATCTAATGTAAGTACATAAAGCTGGGCCTTTAGTATTTTGTTAGAATAATCGAGGCCTTTGTTTACTGTATAGTCTGCCATGTGGGTACGCACACTTGTTATGCATAAAAACAATCTCATACCATAATTATTTGGGATAAATCTTGTGACACGGCCTGTCAAAATCTCCTTTATTTCACTGCAATCATTCACTGAATGCTTGTTTTCAGCATTCGAATCATTTAGGCCCATTGTCAGAGGAGTGGAAACATGTTAGTCAGGTAAAGACCATATCATACTTTCCTTATATTATTCCCTTGTTGACATACTTTTGCCATTACTTGTCTGTTTCTGTGTGTTTGTGTTTGTGCGGCTGTCTCTGTGCGTGTTTGTGTGTGTGTGTGTGTGTGTGTGTGTGGGTGGATGCAGACACAGGCACAAGAAATAGTCCCAACAATTGGCTTCAACATTGAAAAGTTCAAGAGTTCAAGGTAGAAATTTATAGACATTCATAATGTGTATTTATTTGTTTTTAATGCACCAATAAGTATCATTCTAAGCTATTCTCTCTCTGTTTCTCTTCATGCAGCTTATCTTTTACAGTCTTTGATATGTCTGGGCAGAGCAGATACAGAAACCTATGGGAGCATTACTACAAGTATGTAACACACAACGTGCTCGTCAAATATTTACTGCAGCGACAAGACTCTGTGGCAATTATAGCATCTTCTCTTCTCCTCCTCAGAGAGAGCCATGCCATCATATTTGTCATTGACAGCGGTGACAAACTGAGAATGGTTGTTGCCAAAGAGGAGCTGGATACCCTTCTCAATCACGAAGGTATAAAGACACAGTACAGGAAGTGTTTTTCCAGTAGAGTGTAATTGCCATATACTGTATGAATCATGCTATCAGGCATGGTTCAGGGTTCATATTGTGTAATCTGTGACAGAAATTATGCCGTTTTAATAAACTTCTGCCTTTTAATATTACTATTAGCAGTGTCCTGGGATTCAGTTGTTAGTGTCCTCATTGTCTGGATTCGGCATGTCAAACAATGTGGCATATAGCTAAGTATTTTTGTGACTGAAGTCCAGTAAAATACTACATATGTTAACTTCAATGGCCAGCATACCTTCAAAAAAAAACTATGAAGATGACTTAAAGCTTTATTTATCCTGTGGGAAATTGGTGTGCAGTAGTTGCAGCACAAAGTGGGAGGGGTGCAGACAGAAAGAGCGCAAATATAGAAAACAAAATGTCTAAATAAATCCTTGAAGTCATTGGGTGTCAACTTTGGTTGAATGAAAACAGCTACTTTTAGTCTTCCTAATATCATATTTAAAACACATAAAGTTTATTTTATCTTCCTCTGGGCCTGTAATTCATTGGTCTCCTTGTCTTATTATCCAGATATCCGCAACAAAAAGATGCCAGTATTGTTTTTTGCTAACAAGACGGATCTACGGGATGCCATGTCTTCAGTCAAGGTCTCACAGATGTTGTGTTTGGAGAACATCAAAGACAAACCCTGGCACATCTGGTAAATTATTTGTCTTTTTTTTTCCAAACGGGCTACACACTGTCATTCCAAACCAATATTTAGTTAATCAGTTATCCTTCAAGTGCTCGGGTCACACATACAGTCCTACAAGGAGGCTGTGACAATCACATGGCTGCAATATTGTAAAATATTCACCCTGATGATAGGTCTGTAAGCGAAGGCCATCTCCAAAGACATTGTTGAGTACTACTGAATCATGCTACTGTTCGGCAGTCTAGAAGGAAGTGCACTTGGATTAAACTGGCAGAAGTGAGCCGAGCCTTGCTGTTTCCCCCTCCGCAACATTTTGTGCTTCCAATGTGATAGCTTAAAGTCTTTAACTGATACAATAAAGTGAAGAGGCGTTGTTTACCCAACACCTACTTCCTTGGCCTCTTTCCAACAGCTTGTTTGTCTGTTTCTGTGGCTCAAGTTAAACATTGTTAGGAGGCACGGTTGTTCGAAAGCCCGGTTAGTTTATGTACATGTTTACCACCCTGTTTACTCATTAGACAGATGGAAGGCAGATGGATTAAGAGCAAGACAGCTTTGAACTTCCAGGATCCACGAAAAGTCATGAGAAAGTGAATGTGTGCCACGGGGAGATTAACTTCTCGACATTGCCTTGTTTTTTTTCAGTGCCAGCAATGCTATTAAGGGAGAGGGCCTACAAGAAGGGCTGGACTGGCTACAAGGTAATGTGTGTGTTCAGTAATATTTCTAATAACACTGTTATACTGGGCCAAAAGAATTTCAATGTTAATATTCAAGTGCTGTCTGTATTAAGACATGTATTTCTTTATATCCATAGAACAAATTGCACAGTAAGTATTATTATGTCAACATGTAAAGTGATTTAGGTGGTCGATTGTATCTCAGTATCTCTCTGGATGGGATCATAGTTATGCTAGGCCAAATTTGCATTAACAAAAACAAGAGGTATTTGTAACTAGAATTAACACTATAAAGAGAAAAATTATGCAATATTAAAATTTCCCCTACTGAAATAAATCCCATCCAAATGGGTCCTTTGTGCAGTGTTTATTGTAGACCTCCCCTTGTCCCACTGGAATGTAACTCTTGTGATGTGTATATTTCCTGATCGAACCCACTCAAAATCTGTTGTATTTATGCAAAAATGCCAAGATCAGATGTGGTTTTGAATTCTGTAGAAGTCTTTGTTTGTATCCAAACCCTCCAAATCAGTTGTTTACTAAAAAAAAGCACCACATTTCATTAAAATAAAAATCTAATTTTCATCTTTTTCTCCTGTCAGATCATATCAAAACAATGAGCACATGAACGACTGAAATGCCTGTGACCATGGACACGATGTGGGTGTGGTAACCGGATCTCATTTACCACCTGGAGTATTCATCACACTTGATGTTGTAGGCCTTAAACGTCAATGTTAAATGACCTAGTACTTCCTGTGCACGCTACGACTTTGACACAATGTCTTTGATAAAACAAAATCCTGCCATTAGTACAATTTATGAGCGACCACTCTGTACTGGAAATGTGCTTAATATCAAACCTGGAAATGTGCTTAATATTGTTTCAGTATACAGTCATATTTAAACATTTTTATGTGAAGCTGCTTTTTTATGCCAAGATGTATTTAACAAATTTCATCAAAATGCTGTCAGTGCTGGCTGTTGTACTGCCTGGACGATAATAAAAGCTTGTTATTTGCTGAGCGTGTACTGTGTTTCTGTTGTTGTTGTTTTTTAAAAGGCAGCCAAAAAATGCTGCCTCAAAAACCTAAAACAAAGATGAATAAAAATTATAAATACCAATTTATTAAATTATTCAAAAACAATGTGATCATTGTATCACAACTATATTTACAGAGAGGTTCAATGTGAATAAATATTAAATAATGTTAATAAATATTGCTACTTTTAATGAATAAATATTAAATACAGATTACAAACATTACAAAGAACAAGATTTTAAAACTCTGGAATAAATATAAAATCTGTATAAATAAGCACACTGTCTGGCCAAAGTAATTAAACAGCTCTATTTCCAAACAAAAAAATGCAGTGTTGTTTATAGCATATAGAGAACTGTAAACCAAATTCTTCCTTAGAGTTCTCTGAACATTCATTATAACACTGCCCATGTTCAAGTCTTACTGTCGTAAAGGTCCATCACTCACTCTTATTCACTTCTTTTGTGAATTACCGATGTTTGTCTCTTCCCCAACTCTTCCTCTGGTCACTTTTGATCTGCATCATCCCTGTATGAGGAACATGTGGAGGAATTTGGTGTGGAAACGAGCGCTGGAGTCCAGGAGGATACACAGGGTTTGGAAAGTCTCCCTGTTCTCAAGAGGGTTCCCTGAGAGCAGATGATGTATGAATTAATGACTTTTTATATCACTTTTAATTTGAATCTGAGGAACAGTGGAGGTATTCTGTCTCGGCAGTGATTCTCAGTCTCTAGGAGCTGCAAGATAAAACTAAGATACATCAAAACAAAGAACAAACATTTCTACCATGTTTTTTTCCAGCATTTCTCTAATCTACTTCAGTTTAAAAGCTAATAAAATGAAACTATCTCACTCGCTGGTTGAAGTGTTCACTGCTAATAGACCCAAGAAGCCTATAATGAGGGGGGCTTAAAGGGTCATGAGCCACAGAGGTTGACAACCAAAGGTATAGGGAATGAATGCATGTGAGCTGAGTGGCAAATTTCAGTCTCCACTCATGCAGTCTAAAATCACTCCACTTTTTTGTTTTTAACTGGCAATTCCCCAAAACTCATTTAGTATGCTTTATGGCAGAGCACGGGCTGCTTTTTCTTATATTCACATTAGCAGAGAGGTAAATAACATAAGAAACTCACCACTCCAGAATTGTCCATTAGCATGAGATAATCACAGACTGTAAAAATCATGGACGTAGCTACGGTGACGTCACCCATTGGTTTGTGAACTCACATTTTAAAGCATTAAGTTCAGCATATTGGCCGTCACCATCTTGGTTTTTTGAAGTCAGAAATGAGTGATCTACCTGAGAAGCTGAGGACAATATCGGCATCAGCATCAGCATCAATCAAAGTGGCCCGCCCTTACAGTTCTCTTAGCGACTAAAATTAAATTAGCAATAGAGACCAAAAACTGTTTTTGTACCAGGCTGTAAACATGTTTACAATTCCATGTTGGTTTCATTTTCAGCCACGGAGGTTGCTGCTTTGTGCCGATATAATAGGCTCAAAAATTTGAGAGGGGATGTAATCAGAGGTGCACAAATGAAGGTTTGCTCTAGGTGGCAAAGTGATGACAAAAAGAGAAGCTGAAAATATCTACAATAAAATACATTTAAAAAATTCCCAGTGAAATCCGTCTGTGTGAGCTGTCACACACATTCACAGCCACCCATCAACACACAGACCTTTAAAACAAGCTGCTCCAAACTGCAGGTATGATCATCTTCCAAACTAGCACTCAACCATGTATATTTATTGATGATTGTACATTTCAGCATCTGTAAATTTTTGGCCACCATCTTCATGCTGCGGTTATTGTTTCTTTATACATTTATAATTGCAACATCACATTAGTAGAGTAATATATTACTTGATGCAAGGAACCATCTTCCACACAGTTATATTTATTTAAGATTATTTTTTGCTGTGGACTAAAAAAATGAAATCAAATATACACATTTCAGGAAGCTGTCCCACCTCACCTGTCACAGAGGACTCAAAAAACTCCCGGGTGACCTCTGCAAACATGTTCTCCAGGTGGTGGATGAAGCTGAACCTTTCAGGAGCTGTGTTGAAGACCTTGCAGATCTGCTGCACCAACTTCACCGCCCAGGACATGTGATAGCCGTCCTTCTCACACACCTGAGGATGAAGTAAACTGAACCAATGTGCCTTTTCACAGCAAAAATGTTGTTATAGCTTTGACGGTGTGTTAGTTTCAAGGTCCTGGTATTGTGCACAAGTTTGAATCAAAACTGCTATGGCAATCTACGATGGAGTAACAGAATGACTATCAACCTTAGCACTATCAACAGCACAAGTGTCTTTAGCCGACAGATGACAGTTAGGTAAATTGAGACTGTTGCAATACAAGAGCGACCTATGTCCCTGTCGCCTTCCTAGTGCATGCTGGGTCAAACTGCAGCCCCCTGACCCTGAACAGCAGTGAGGAGAAATGGCAAAATGAGTCACAATGACCAGGGCAAAGCAATAGACGATGACTCATTTTACTGTCTGCCTCAAGCTGTTCCTGGATGCACACTTGTCCTGATGTGATGAGATGGAAAATGTTGGCCAATTTCTGATTCTCAATTAAAAGCCAATAATGGCCCAACATACCGGTCTGAAGGAGAGTAATTACATGCACATCATGTAGGTGCACGGCTATCGATTAACAGTGACAACAAAGACAAAACTTTCTGATATGTTTTATAAACTAATGCTTGATATTATGAGGTGTGGCTTTTGTATTACTGTTTTTCTGGATGGTTAACTACACCTGCCATCAGCTTGTCAGCTTATTGGTGTGTATTATGTATAAATATAGATTTGGTTCCACTTTTCAAACATTATGACCTCACCAAGATCCAAAAAGGATCAAAACACTGTCCTTATTAAACTTTTGTGGCAAGTGTGCAGGTCCAACATTTCAGATTAACCATAAATGACACTTAATATGAAGCTAATTTCTTTAATCGATTCATCTGATTATAAAATAACAAGTATTCTAACCAGTATGATGAACACGATGAGTCTGCAGATCTCAGGGAGTTGTCCATTGATGGCCTTGCTGGCCAGAACACTGTAGCAGAGCTTGCTGCCACACAGCACCAACAGACGAGCCACACTCTCCACATGCCATGGCTGAGGAACAACTGGAGATGGTGATGATGAGGAGGACAACCGAGTCATTTACATGTCTTTATCCTAATTTGTGTCTATCTGTGACATGAAAACACTTGAGGACCAGTGAAGTATGTTACCAAAGAGCTCTTCCAAGATTGTCAGCAGGGGATAGGTGGTCTGGCTTTTTACTTCTAGTTGTCCGAAAAGCATAAGGATGGCTCTGGCCAGGTCCCACAGAGCACTGCGAGGAAGCCCCCTCTCCACCAGATCCTGCAAGCCAAGGGTGCCTGCATGGAGGAGAGAACCTCACACATTACCTGTGTAATATAATACCACATCACAAAAGAAAAAACAGACAAGCTGCATAGGAGACAAGGCAAGTTTTCCAACACCAGTGCAAGCTACCCAGGCCTCCTTCACCAGAGTACACTACAGGGGATTTAATTGGGTCTCATAATAAAATTAAATTTCCTTCAACTATTGAACACTTGTGGTTGTCCAAACCTTACATTGTACATTTGTAATTATATCTCAACACATTTCAATATATTCATCGACCACAGCAGAGAGGTAGCAGTCTTTTTATCACTGGTGAGAAATCTGGAGCAGAAAGCAAATCACTTCAGGACAAAACTCACAACTAATCTATGATTTGCTGCTCACAGTAGCCAAGGAGGATTACAGTCTGATCCTGTATCTCATAAAGTCAAACCTCACTCACTGATTGTTTTAATTAACTGTGAATATGAAACTAATCTTACCCTCAGGCAGCAGGGGTCCATACAGCATGAACAGTAACTGTGCCTGGCTGACCATGGGCCAAGGCTTCAGGAGTTGCATTAGCCAGAACTGGCAATCAGGCTGGTTCAGCCACGGGTCCAACAGAACTCTGCGGCAGAAAAGACGGAGCTGCAGCTTTTGGTAACACCTCACCCCTGAGAACAAATGAATGAAGACAGATGTATTTTTGTACGATTTTCATAAGGCTGAGAAGGAAAAGGCCAGAGTTAATAAAAAGTCCATTAGTCAGTGAATCCCATTTTATCCATCAATGTAATTTTTGTTATCATCTAGATTTAAATCAGTTCAGAGACCCATGCATGCTGCTACACCCAACGCCACGGCTCTGACCCAGGGAAACTGAGATGTATAACTAAAATGCAATGCAGACCTCACCAGTTTTCACCAGGATTGTTTAATCCTACTAAAAAAAGCTAACAGAATGATTTAAAATATGTAATAATTGCCGCTGTAGTAGAAAGAATAATATCTTCACTAATGGCCTGTTATATATTCAGCAACATTCTCACTTCCTGACACTGAGACACGCACCTGGTTTTCCAGTGATGACTGCATCTATTTTTGGCATCAGATTTGTGAGGTCACACAAGAAGTTGAACACTCTGTGGCACTCCAGCTCATCCCACCCTGCGATCAGTGCCTGTACAGTGTTCAACACAACACACCTCAACATTTACAAAAGCAGAAAAGAGTCATATCTCTCTGCTGAAATGTTTTCAGGCAATGGGATGGGACACTAGAAGGTTTTTCAACCATCTATATTCAGTGTTTTTACCCGGAGTTTATCCACCCTTAGCTGTTTTCGTGAAACATCCAAGTTTTTGTTTATTGCACAATATTCTGTATTTCTGCTCACCTGGAGGAAGACTCCGTAGCAGTCGAAGCCAATGCAGTCTGGTTCCAAACACTGCCCAAACAGGAAGCAGGGGATCTGAAACACATCCGTCTGACAACTTTATTTTGCCCCATCACTAGCATAGGTTATGATCGCTATATAAGGTGGCTGAATATTTAGTTTTGTCATTTTTTTCTTATGTGACCTTTAATACATCACATAATTTAATCATGCTTGTCCTCTCACCTCTCCTTTTCTTACCTCTGACAACCTGCAAAAGATAAATTTCAACCTGTCCTTTGTTGGTAGCAACAGGGTGCATCTCTTGAACAACAATCCTGAGACACAAAAGCACATTTTTAAATTAAAAAAACACCAAATTTTCCTATCCCTTACCCTGACAGAGTAGCTTATCCCTACTACTACTCAACAGGTTGTTAGTTACTTCTCAGTCAGGAGAAGTGTTACACAAAATAAGCTACATAAACGTTGCTACTCACCCAAGTCTCTGTAGTGTCCAACAGTGCATCTCTGTTCAATGCAGGTGGAGTTATGAAAGTTTTGAATGATCCTTTTATTCTTCCAGGCGAGGGTGGAGATGTGGTCCACAGTGTATCTAGTAATGTCCTTGGACACCATGCTGAACACACTGAGCTCCATCACTGACAAACACACACATTTTCATCTCATACATGTGCGGTATTGAAATATAAATTCCCACTTACAATACTTTACTATAAACTGATTTTAAAATACAAGGACCAAAAGGCATTGATTTATTTACTGGATTGTCTTTAAGTGTCCTAAAAGTCGTGGTTAACTTGAAGAAATCGACATAATTTGGGTAAACACGTGCAAAAACTGTAAACCAAGTGCTGTACAAAATATCAGGATTTTAATTAAATCATTTTCTTATCACCAACAAATTTAGCTCAGATACTACAGGACTTTGTCGGCAATATAAAAGTTTCAGTGTCACTCTGAAGGACATGTATTTCACAGGTTATGTTAAAACAAGTTGTACCTACCGGACAGTTTCTCCAGGATCATGTCGAACACCTCTGCCGGGAGCCTGTCGAAGAAGCAGCCGCTGATGTTAGCCTGGCTTCGGGTCATGATGGTCCTGGTTGGACGGGGCTGATGATGAGTCCTCTTGCGGGGTTTGTGTTTTAGTTTGAACTTTCTAACACCTCTGGAGGCTTTCCTTACCATTACGCCGAATTAACTATATTAAACAAGATAAGGAAAACTGACTTCAAAGTAAAAGAAACTCTAAAGTTAGCTAATTATCATGGTGTCACAGGAGTAGCAGCTATGCTAATCAGTAAAGCTAGCTAACCTAGCTAGCTAGACTAATGAATTCAACTCCTGACAATTTAACATAGTTGTGGTTTCGTTAACTTTAAGGTTTATGTACAGTAGTTACACGGTGATATATTTATAATAGTAATAAAAAATAACATTAAAGCAGTTAATTATCTTACCAAACCTATTAACTCAGTAATGTCGACAGGTAGCTAAGTTTGCTGTATGCTAGCTGTCACGGTTAAAGTAAATAAGGCAACGGCGCGAAATAAGTAACTTTATTGACAGTAAAGGAAGTCTCTAAATGAGGAGGTGGCTTTGAGGACGCATATTCGGGTAAGCAGTCGTAAATGTTTTATTAACTTCAAGTCAAATAATGTAAAGTATCCAAAATGTCTTTCAAGTAACGTTAAAAGCAAGTATTAGCAGTGAGGCTGAAGCAAAAGTAGCAAAAAAAATACTGTGTGAAGTGTCTGATAGTAATAAGTAATATAATTTAATATAACAACAGTAATACTACATGCAGTAATATTTAATGAGCTCCATTAAAGAGACTGGTGGAAAAATATAGAAATTGCTAAATAATGTGTAACTGAAGCGGTCAGATAAATGTAGGAGATTAAAAAGTATTTTTCTCTGAAATTAAATGGTTTCCCCCAATATGCTGCATTATATTAATATTGGAACAGTAGCATATATCCCATCTTTTTCTTTTTCTTATTTTCTGTTCATAAGGTCACTAAATCATTTTGTGTAAATTGATATGGTCTTATCCAGGGCTACAACTAACGATTATTTTCATTATCATGAATCTTCTGATAATTTTCTGTATTATGTGATTCATTTTTTGGTTTATAAAATGTAAGACAATAGTGAAATGTCCATTCCAGTTTCCCAAAGTAGTCCAAGGTGATGTCTTGTTTTGTCAATCCAAAATAAATTTTAAAAAAAAATCCAAATATTCAGTGTAATATGACATAAACAGAAAAAAAGGCAAAATCTCAATATTTAAGAGGCTGAAAATAACAATTTCTGCAATTTTCGCATGAAAAATGACATACTTAACTATTCATCAGTTATCAAAATAGTTAGTGATTATTTTCTGTAGCTCAACAAATCATCTTGTAGGGGTGGAATCACCTGAGGCCTCACCATATGGTATTATCATGATACTTAAGTCAAGAAACAATATTACTGTGATTTTAAATGTTTTGTGATATGCTGAAATTGCATCATATTGGGATTTATGACCATTTTAACTGCAAATTTTGGGGGGGGAAATGGCAACATCTGTTTTATCTAATAGTTTTCAGTCTGTTCATCTCACTTCAACATTTTTATGGCAACAAAATGTATCTAGTGCACTGAAAAAGCTATTGATTGTATTGTTCTAGTAGCCTACCAAAAGTTAAATTCATGTGTGCAATATTATTCATTTTTATAATTGAAAAAAACTGATACTTGGTGTCCATGTATTGATACAGTATTGCCATGCGAAATATTGTGACACTGTGCTCTATCAATTTTTTTCAACCACCTCTAGTCAAGCAGCTATAGTCTTGTCCCAATAGATATTTTTCTCAAATATCAAATAGTAATCCAGCAGCAACAGATTGCTCTTTATTTGATTTACTGCCCAATCAGTTATTTTAAAGGCCCTATGTTACACCCACACAGGTGTTTTCAAATATGATGGCTGACTAGTGATGACTGTCACTCATCTGTAAGGGCAGGTGAAGTCTAACTTTTTCTTTGCTATTAGTTCAGATAGTTTGGTGACCTCACATGACTCGAATAATCTCTCCACCCAACCTGAACCTGAGAAAAGATGTAATTGGCTAGGATGAGCAACAGGGCCTTTAAGATATGCCAGTTTGACTATATTTTGATGATGTTGTGTATATCTACGTATATACCATTGAAACAATATGTGCAGTACAAACAAAGGCAGCTTTTCAGACCTCTGAAGACACAAGAACACTAAAAATAAGGAAGACCTGCGCTACACGTACCATCATGGTTGGGTTACCCTCCAGTAGTGTGCACAACAGACCAGCTATGCTCAGCTGCTAATCATGGGATTATTCTGCTTAACTAAGACTATTAAGTGTTCCACATTCAAATGGCGTCTCCCACAGGCAGACCTTGGAGAGGATCATCCCCTCACCATAGAGCTCTTACAGAGAACTGAACACTGCACAAGGGACCCAGGGGAAGGGCTGGGAAAATGCCCTTGTATACCAACAGGATGTCATGGTAGGTTACACTTGGGGCACAGATGGAGAGAGAGAGAAGAGCTGCATAGGAAGAAGATGGACCTCAGAGGACCGCAAAGATAAAACTGCAGTTTTGAATGACTTCACCTGGCTCACAGAACAGTATGTACCACACACATTACCACAAACGGTACCACATTACAGTACATGCGTAGCTTTGGCTGTCAGCTTTGCAGTGTTGCTTTTACTGCTTAAATGTCTCCTGATTGAACTCTAATTGTAGTAAACCTAAATATTTTTTCTACAAGTTGCTTGTAAGATGATATGCCAATCAGTTTTTTTCATTGTTTCATTTAATTTTGTCCAATGTTCATTTAACAGTTGTGGAAATGCAGAAAGCTGAATTATTGAGACAAAAACAGCACAGCCAGTGAGGACAATATCTCCTCTGTCTGTCTCGGCTTGGCAACGCTGCTCTGCCTCCGGGTCCACGGGTTTATCTGTGTATAGCAACAAGCCATCACTGGAACAGTCTCTCATGTCGTCTCTGACACAATGCTCCTGATGCTGGCCAGGATAATGCTGCTGATGATGATGATAATATCTAACACTAGCCGGTCACATATCTGACAATCCTGCAGGACGGACACATATTCCTTGTGTGTTGTGGCAGCAGCAGCAGAGACAGAAGGAGCTGGTCAGTGAGGAATCAGTGCCAATGGCCCTATTTATCTGGAAGTGTACCGTCTGGACACCTGCTGTGACCATGGCTTTGTAGTCCTCGTGTGACCTTGTTGGTGAGTATCCAAGTACGGAGAGTTTGTACTAAATATTTAAACATGAAAGCTTAAGTAGCATCCCATGTGCAGTATTTCATAGTGAAAATATTACAATTGGCAAGTGAAAAAATGTTATGAATATTACATTGGCTTCGCTCCTGGTGGGCTCATTTATGGGCAAACCAACATGAGACAAGACACTTGTCACAGCCTTGGCTTTGTTTCTATTGCTCACTTGTTATGCCTTCAGCATAGTCAATCATTAAGTGAACACAATGTGGCTTGTATCTGTGATATTTTAAGAGGCCCCAACAGTGGCAGGTTTAACACTGAACAATAAATTCCGCTTCATAAACAGCCTCTGTTCTCTGAGGAAGTTGAAACAATGGGGCTGTATGAGCACAGAGGGGTTTCTTTGCTTTCAGATTAAAGGGACAGTTCACCCTTAAAATCAAAAACTTTTTTTTTTCGTCTAACCTGTGGTGCTATATCAGTCTAGATTGTTTTGGTGTGAGTTGCCAAGTGTTGGAGATATTGGCAATAGCTTTCTCTTGAATTTAATGGAGCTATATTACACTCGGCTTGAAGTGCTAAAAGCACCACAAAAGTACATTTGAAAACCGTAACAGCAATGTCTCTCTCCAAAAAACATGACCTGGTTACTCAAGATAATCCACAGACCTTTTTTGTGAGTAGTTTCATGGAGGACCTTAGTCTCGCCACCAGACAATCAGAGATCTCCGCCTTCTGATAGTCTGGGGACACTCCTTTCTAAAGTGTGTTTGACACACCGGCGAAAATGGCCGGCAACAAAGCAACGCCTCTTGCATTTTTGAAAAGGATATTTTTTCACGGAGAGGACATTTTGTTCAAAACACCAAAAAGGAACAAAAGTAAATGCTTAACTACCTGTGAGTTTTTATTGTGGCCGAGAGCTTCCTGGGCAGTTGTGGAATTTTTACCGTCATGTGGGAGATTGTAAATGTAGCACTGAGTGTCAGTTGATCTCAGGTCAGAGATTAAATTGGACATAATATAAGTCAGTCAGTTATTACAACATAAGTCACTACTGTCCCTTATTGTCACAGTTTAGGGCCCATCAGCTAGAAGTGCTCTGTCATCAAGCCCTTCAGTCCCCCTCTCTCTCAAATACCCTGCAGAGCTGTGAAAAATGTTCAAAGTTAGTGGTTTATAACAGTGCTCTCAGCTTGGGTGGTTTCTGTAAATGTTTAATTTCCTCTCCCCCCCCTCTCTCTCTCTCTCTCTCTCTCTCTCTCTCTCTTTCGTTTCCTGAGGGGTGGCGGGGAGCTTAACAAATAGACTGCTGTGATTTGCCCTCCAGAGGAGAGCGTTAAACAGGTGAAGCTGAACACTGCTCTCATTAGTTACAGATGCAGTCACCTGCCACTCACCAGAGACTGATGCCAGAAAGTTTCCGCAGCTATTTCTGCCCGCACTCCGGAGACACTTGAGGAATGGCTCAGACTCTGTGACTGGATGTAAGCTCAGTGGAATTTACTGTACTGCTGGGGACCATGCAGATAACAGGAGGAATCCAGCCTCATCTTCAGCCGGGGGGACTGTAGTTTTGTTTTGAAAGTGTTTCTCTTTTTTTATTTGGTGAGATGTTTCTCTGTGTTGATTTTCTCTGGATCCAGTGTATGTATACGAGCCTGCTTAGTGACGTGTGCAGTTTAAGACATCCAAATGCTAGTAATCGTCTACCGGTGTCTCCTACTGTATCAATATTTGATACCACGGGGGAAAATTGGCATTGACGGCATAAAAGTTAAACATAACAAGGTTACAACATCACAATGACTTTTCTAGGTTTGCAGCAGAGAACAGCGGATTGACTGTAGTAAAACATTAACAATAAGAGAAAACAAGGAAGCGGTGTATCGATACTGCAGAAAATGAGTATTGAAATTGTTTCAAATATTCACAATTGATTGATTGCATCAGTAAATCAACAACTTTAATAACACTAACATGCTCATCAACAGTGATTTTAAACTGTAACTTTGCACTCCGCAGTTCAACCATCAGTCGAGTGAGCACATCATGGCCAACATGGCGGTTCAACTCCTTGGCTTCTTCTTGGGTCTGCTGGGGTTTGTGGGAACTGTAGTTGCAACTCTGCTCCCCCACTGGCGCAGCACAGCCTACGTGGGCTCCAACATCATCACAGCCACTTCCTACATGAAAGGCCTGTGGATGGAGTGCGTGTGGCACAGTACTGGCATTTACCAGTGCGAGGTGTACAGATCTCTACTGGCGCTGCCACGTGACCTGCAGGTACGACACAGTCACTGTTTAGTCAAAGTTTTTATCCAAAACACTTTCCTCTTATCATGAGAAACAACAAAATGAATTGTCAGTTTGATAACTGAATAAAAACACCCAGCAGTCTCTTGTTTCGGCTCCTCAAATGTGAGGATTGGCAGTATTGTAAACTAAATATCTTTGGGAGAGAAAGAATTTGAAGACACACAGATGGAAAAAGTATTTCACTATTTGAAATATGGTCTTTGGTTTACCATGGTTCATTTACACATACTTCCCACATTGTTATGATACAGAGCTGGTTGACAGTTGGCAAAGTGTCACTTTATCAAGGAAAATATTCGTCAGATTTAATCGATAATGAGAATAACGACTAAGTTAATTCTTAAATGCATCCCCCTGATGAATAGATGGACAGTCTGATATGATCAAATACTGCAGTTGCAATTTGCTAACCCTACAGCCTGGAATTTGTTCTAGATCTCTCAATCATCTCTTATGACACAATAAAAGTGTGTGGCAGTGTGTTTACCGCTAGAGACTCTGCCCTCTGCCTGTAATTTCTTATTTTATCTTTATTTTGCTATGGCTGGGCATAATGGGCAGGTGAGGTCGGGACTTTATAAAAAAAAAGTAGCGGCCAGGTGCCAGACTGTAAGCAGCACACGTCAAAGAGGAAGCTAAGAAAAAAAGCCCCAAAAAAACTGAAACAAAACGCAAATGTAGTGAATGAGTGTGAATCTGGGGTTGGCTTTCACTGGTGATATTGTTTACAAACAATAACCGACAATTCCTGCATAGTATACATTTAAACCAGTGGTTCCCAATTGGTCCAGCCACAGGGTCCAGATTTGTCTTTAGTCAAGAATTCAAGGTCCACAGAGTTATTAGTTGCATCATACTTGCATTTGGTCATGTCATTGAGCTAGTTTGATGTCTCTGTCAAGCACCTGTCCGATTCACTCTACAGCAGGAAACAGCACTTTAAAGTAAAAGCTCTGTACTGGAAATGCACTGTACTTCAAAATACAAACTTTATATGTTTGCAAGTCACTTGCAGTCTAGTCTCTATATACAGACTCTACATTCAGTGAATGTAGAGTCTGTAGGCAAACCCCGGAGATCTTGCCTCCGGAAGAAGAGCGGAAGAGCCCTGGTTTCCGGTTTTAGGCTGTTTGTAGTCCTTGTGATATTTATCAATCACGTTTGAGCCGGCTGCAGTTGTTGCCAGGTTAAAGGTCTGTGCGGTGAACTAACGAGGCGGAACATAATTGGCGCCACTGCAAACTCTGAATCCATCGCAGTGGTTCAGCATATTTACTTATAGATAAACGGAAGTCGGAAACGGAAATTCGCCTCCTCAAACTGGAATGCCAAAAAATCAGGGGTCTGCCCCCAAAGGCTGTATCGCCGTCTGCCGGAAGTCAGACGCCGAATACAGTCGATGGGTTCCGAGAATGCTTGCTTTCCAATCAGAATAGACCTGTGACCCACCTTTGGACCATGACCCACCAGTTGGGAACCAAAGCTTTAAAGTGCCTGTCTGTTCTCCACTTTAGGCTGCCCGGGCGCTCATGATGCTCTCCTGCGTCACCTCAGTCCTGGCATCTCTGGTGTCTGTAATGGGGATGAAGTGCACCCGCTTTGCTCGTGGCTCCTTAATCAAGTCTCCTCTGGTGCTAAGTGGAGGGATCTGTTTCCTCTGTGCTGGCCTACTCTGCCTGGTCACCGTGTCCTGGACCACCAATGATGTTATCATGGATTTCTACGATCCCTTCCTGCCCAGCGGGTTCAAGTACGAGATCGGCCTAGCTGTGTACCTGGGTTACGCCTCTGCCTTCCACAGTCTGACCGGAGGACTGGTGCTATGCTGGAGCAGCAGTGGCAGCAGGTCACAGAGGCCCCTCCATGTGCAGAGGAGTCAACCACTATCACCTCCCCCTGCCTTCAACCACATATATCCTCCTGCTCCACCCTACAAGCCCCACGAGGCCCTGAAGGACAATCATGCGCCCTCACTTTGCTCCCTTTCCAGCAGTGGCTACAGGCTCAATAACTATGTCTAAGACTTGGGGAAATAATAATACAATAACTGAAAATCCATGGGGACTTTTATGAACAAAAAAGACTTCTCCAACTTATTTTAAACATCTTAACAAGTACTTTAGTTTCCCTTATACGTAATACAAGTTTTAAAAAATGGAAAAGGAGAGACCAGCATGTTGCTTCGCCATGTTTGACCGCAAATCTGATTCTGAAAGGATATCGCAGTTTAACAAGCTGCTCAAGCTGTCGTCTAACTTTAACATGACCAGGTCTGAGAGCCTAACAAAACTCTTGGTGTGTGTGAAAGAAGTGAGAAGTCAAACCTGCTGACCTACTGCTATGTACCTGAAGGACCAGAAGATGGCAATATTTTACTGCAGATAACCACAAAAGCCACATTATAAACATTCAGATTGCACTTTGTATGCTGTAACACACATGTAAATGGATAAGCTATTGCTCTGTCACTTGTGTTGTAGCCTACTTTCTAGTTAGAGCTGGACAATATATTGATATTATATCTATCATGATATGAGACTATATCTTCTTAGATTTTGGTTTTCGTAATATCTCAAGTGTTGTCTTTTCCTGATTTTTAAGGCTGCATTACAGTAAAGTGATGTAATTTTCTGAACTTACAGACTGTTAAAGCTGTTTTATTATTTGTCTTTACCCACTTAGTCATCATATCCACATTACTGATGATTATTCATCAAACAGATCATTGTGTAAATGCTGTGAATTCACCAAAAGTCAACCTTATCATTGCAATGATAGTCAACAAGCCGATACAGCGCACACGAGAGGACTGCATTGCCTCTTCTTTTAATGTATTTTTCATTTGAAATTATGTTTCCTTCCTTTTTTTCCTGACATTTGCTGGTGTTTCCTGCCATCACCTCCATGAAGTTGTAAGGACTGCATGGGACATGTGCTTTTGAATGAGTTCACCTATCACTGCAATATCATTATCAAGGTATTTGTTCAAAAATATTGTGATATTTAAATTTTTCCATTTCACGTAGCCCTTATTCTCTTTGCGATTAACTTTTTTCTGAAAGCCAATTTAGATATGATGGTTCTTTTGAGGAAGCTGATGATATTTTATCCCGGTATTTAATATTTTCATGCCAAAGAACATTAAAAAAAAAAGACAATGTCAGTTTCTGATGATTTAAACATAGATGAGTATTTCATAAAAATATGTTCGTTGTTTTTTATGAGCCTTTTTCAAAGCAGATATTTTGACATGTCAAAGTAAGAAAAATACAGCTGTAATTAATAACGTGAATTTAACCTGGGTTTCTGGGATACTTAAATGGAACAGAGCCACCCTTAACAGTTTCAGTTCCTCCTGTGCTTATCCAGGTATGGCAAGTCCAAGCGTCCTCTGTGACAGAGACCTACAGTAGGTAAACTAGTGACACCTTTTAGCCTGAAGTCCATTGTTGATTAATTACAGTTTAACAACTGGGAAATCCTGCTGCAGTTATGAGCACCAGACTTTAGTGGATCTCTGTCCAACTTTGATGTTCATGTATAGTAACATTTAAAATATGTTTTGTGAAGCTCAAGAAAGCCACTGGATGGCGACAAAGGTCTTTTGAGAAGGCAGCCTGAAGCCTTCAGTTGGAACTTTTCATTCATTAGGACTACATCGTTTGTTGGATATGATATAGGATAGTCTAGATAGAAACACTGGTTATTAATGACTCTAACATGGAGCCAGAGTCCTCAAGTCACATATGTAAACACATAAATTATTCTCATTAATGGATGCTGAATATGAAGTTGTGAGGAAGTGACTCCTCTGAGGCTCTCCAGGCTGCCTGCTTAGAACAACCTGTAACACTGTGGATGTGTTTCTGAGGCTTATTTGTTGGAAAACCTTCCAATTAGAGGTGACCTCTGTCTGGCAGCCTGTCAGCCACACAGACACTCAATTAGGGGACGTGTCACAATTCAAGCAAGTCACATATTGTTTTCAGCAGTCAGACTAGTCAGCATCAACAACTTTACATCAAGGAGCTAATTTATATTGCTGGTGAGGGCCAAACAATGGGATCTATTTAGACTGGAAACCAGTAAAGAACAGTTATTGCTGTAAGAAAAGTGAGTAAAAGTCAGTACTTTTTTTTAAAAAAAAAAAAAAAGCTACAGAAATCAAAGTGATTATTAAAGCTGAACGCATAATGAGACTGAAGAGGCTTCACAATAATAAGGTCACAAACTAAACTCTTCATTGAGAACCTATTATAGCCTAAATGTTGGAAGAAACAACACTGTGATTTAAAGGGGATAAAGTACAGTGTTTCTGCCTTGAGCACTGAGTGTTCACATTTCAGCACCATGGACAGAGGTCCAAATGATCCAAGGAAACCAAGTTACATCCTCGACTGTTTTAAATCATCTTTATATAATAAAAAGAGCTCTTACTCTTGATGCATCCAAGACTGGATTTGGTAACATGACTTCAAGTGTACAAAAGGGACCAAAATAATGTCCCATGAGTCGCCATTGCTTCCTTGTGACTCATATCTACTTATACAAACTCGATTTGGACGTTGTGTGGAGTGATGTAAGAAAGCTTCCGGCTTGCATGCGTAAAGTGGGTGATAAAATGAAAAAGTAACCCTATGCGAGGCTCCCACCCGCAGCATTATCCACCATACAGCCAGCGTTTGCAGAATAAAAGCGATGCTTTAATCGCGGGGCAAGATCGTAAATCAGGCCTGAGATGTAACCTGGCGGAGTAAAGGTTCCATCCATTGCCAATATGATATTATGATATTGGAAAGCTCTCCCGAAGCGGTGGTGCGTCACGCCACTCTCTATTAGGTGCTATTTTCGTCCTGCCCTGGAAGACATTCATCCAGCATCTACTCACCCTGACAGCACCCAATAAACCCACCACTCCCATTCATCTCCACCCACCTCCACCCTCTCTCCCCGTCCCTCGCTCGTTCCCTCTCCCTCTCTCTCTCTCCCTTTTCCGACGAGCACTGGTGACTTAAAAAACAACATAGGAGAATTGGGTCTGGTCGTCCAAGAGGATTACTTTGTGGTACCTTAGCAGTTTTCCAACAAAACCGTCTTTGTCACTTTGTAAATCTTCTTTTGGAGGCCCTGCTCCTGTCATATATTTAGACCTCCTTCTCCAAAGGAAAGGTAAGATACCACTTCTTAATATTCTCTTCTTTTACTAATATGTTTTGGCACTGAAACTGCTTTGGACCACAGTGACAGATGTTGATTTAAAGAGAGATCAATAATGCAATGCCGGCCTCCTGGAACCATGGTGTCAGCGCAACGGGGAGCTGAAACCCACAGGTTTGATTCTAGTGATGCAGCACATTGGAGACAAAACCCTTCTGCATCTGTTTTAGGTCTCCTCTGGTTCATGGTTCGCAGTTTTGTGACGGCGCGTCACGTTTGGGAAGCATTGATGGACTTTTACGCACGAAACAAAACCATGTCGATCCATTTTTTTTTTATTATGTTTTTCAAAATCATACTGTGCGACAGAGCAGGCTGTGCACTTTTTATGTTGAAACTGAACAGACACTGAGTGAACTGGCACAGTAACTGGAGTGAGCCATGTCTGTAAGTAAAGCAGTAAGGCGTGCGTAAAGTAGCTTCAACAATTTAAAAAGCTAAACAAGTGCAGCACTATTAATTCCATTATTTCTGGTTTGGGTTTTACTGATTGTTTTAATGTGATGACACGATGAAGCAGTGCCGGTTGTTCCGCTTCCTGTGCTTTGTGCGTCTGTTGGACACGGTAAGGTATGGCCACTCTTCATAGCTTTTATGTAACAAGTTAAATATGGCAGATATGATCTTTTATGGTCACAGAATTAGACGAAGATCAAAGTGGGAAAGGCACGAAAGTATTTCCCTTTTTTTTTAATCAAAGAGGCTTTCAGCTCTAGTTGAGCGTTTGTCTAATAGTTTATTGTGGTGGGTAAAAGATAGGAAAATCAGTTTTGTGTATTTTTACATGCATGTACTGGATGCAGGGACTTTATCACGCTTAAGTAATTTGACATCATTGAGTGATTCGAAATTAGACTCGAAAAATACAGGTGTTTTTCAGCCTAAAATGTGGGTTATAAGCTCTCCTGATGTTGTCATCTTTAATTGTAATATGTAGTAAAATTGAAATGATATTTTCCTCTTGTAGTGACTCCACCTTTGAGGCTTGAACAAGAAAAAGCACCCGCTTGAGCTCGGCAAGAATTTGAATTGATTTGTGTTTATATTACTTGGGTTAGTACTGAAGTTAATCGGTGCGCATGAAATTCAAATTTGAATTACATTGTGTTCTCTATCTGGAAAGGGTGTTAGTTTGTAATATCCATGGTATGGTTACTCAACACCAAGTGAGTCTGAATTAAATCTTGTCGTTTTTAATAATTTGGTAGCCTCAAATACAGTATTTGGATGGGAGTGTTTTCAAGTTGACCATGAGGTTAATAGCTAATTTTCATGTGGGTTTAGTCATCTCCGCGTAATGCGCATGGAAGCTCTGTAATTACAGTCCGTCTGCTCATAACCTGATTTACAAAATGGTGTGGTACAAGGTGAGGCTTCTGTAAAATACCTCATTCAGATCAAAGACAGACGTAGAATATGTTTCTTTCTTGTCTTCTTCTTCAAAGTTCTCTCCATGAGATTCCAGTCCTCCGCGCGCAATAGCACTTGATCTCGGCGGGAGGAAGCGGACGAAAGGAAGATGGCCATCCACGCCGAAGGTCTCGTGGCTATCGTGATCTTCTACCTCCTGATTCTGTTTGTGGGGATCTGGGCCGCCTGGAAGAACAAAAACTCCGGCGTCAGCGAAAGCGGAGACCGGAGCGAGAGCATCATGGTCGGGGGAAGGGACATCGGATTGTTCGTGGGTGGATTCACAATGACCGGTGAGTTGGTTAATTATAGGAATCTCTGAAGTCTGATGGGCAGGTGTTTAACCTGACCCGTGTGCGCATGCTGTCACATGTTGGTATCATATGAGGTCAGAAAAAGACAATGAATTCCACCACCTGCGTCTTTTACGCACATACAGCTCAGTATTGCATCCACTCGATTTCTGAACCCTTAAAGATGAATGATGAATGAAAAGTTTTAAATATGTGCTGTAAATCCAAACTCAGGTCCTCATTTGTACAGTTCTGTTTCCCCAACACTAACTGGATTCAGTTGGATCTTTATTAAATTATAATCACAACTGCAAGCTAAGGTCTAGTGAACCCCTCTCCATCCACAACAGACAATCATGACATGCACCAAACTAGTCTTTTTTTTTTTTTTTACAAACCTTTTTTTCTTCTCCTTGGTTTCAGCTACTTGGGTGGGTGGGGGCTACATCAATGGGACAGCAGAGTATGTCTACCTGCCAGACTTCGGCCTGGCCTGGGCACAAGCACCCTTTGGTTATGCTCTCAGCCTGGTAGTAGGTAAGAGCCAGTGTCTTTGTATATGCTCTTTCCTTAATTATACTGTGGGAAGCAAGTGTATATTAAGTATAGTGTGAGGAGCCATGTGCAGTAGGAATGCACGAGTTGCTGCAAATGGACAGCATTGAGAAAATTTCTAAAGAACCATACCACTAATTTTGCATTTTTTTAAATCATTAACATGAGTGTGTAAGAAAATAATCTATTGGAGTGATCATCCTGCAGCATCATGTCTGCTTTTATTTTTGACACTCTGCATCACTGTAGTGTTGCAACACAGTGTGGACTTTTCAAAACCTGAAAAGAATTTTGACATAAATTGCTATTTATTGCACTGGATTAGTCACTGGAATCAATTTCAAGTATTTAATGTTTTGAATACTACTGTATGGTATTTTGGCAGTCATGTAGTTTAATATGGTGTAGTAGTATGGTCCTCCAAGAAATATATATCATACATATAAAAAATAATGTTATTTCTTCACGCAGAGATAAACAGGAAATGCTATAGTGTTACTATTATGTGAATTATGCACCAGATGCAAATTTTGTGTCATGATATTATACAATTTCATTGATTCAAGGATTGTAAAATACATTTTATTGGTGTTTTACGCTATTTGTCTGCCTTATCTGAATGTCTGACATCATCCAGGTGGCCTTTTCTTTGCCAAGCCCATGCGCTCTCGTGGATACGTCAC